TTCTGCATCCCATCACAGAATAGGATTTCATATGGGACTTACATATGTCTCACTTCATTTTTGATCTGACTTTCCAAGAGTTCCTCCACCTGTACTGCAGCTTCCACCTATCTGATTCTTTGCTCTGTGCTGCCAAAGGCATCTACTTAGCTCTGCTAGAGGGAAGAAGAAACATGTTACAAGGTCACTTACTCTAGTCATTTTTGTGTTTCATAGTTCAGCCAGTATCCAACAGTTTTACTAACAGACAAGATGGAAATTCTCAAACACTTAGATATTTTGGCTGTTTCAAACTAGGGTTGCCAGGTCTGCTTCCAAAAAATAGCGGACAAGCGGGGGGGTGGGGGGTTAAGTAGTAAAAAAAGTAGACTGTACAGCTTTAGATTACGTACCATTTCATCATAAAGCTTTTGAATAAAAAAAATGTCCACTATTTTGTGAAAAAAAATAGTGAACATAATGTGAAAAAGTGGACTGTCCACTCAAATAGTGGACACCTGGCAACCCTACTGTTTCAGCTGTCTCAATTGTGGCAGAGATTTATGGCAGCCATCAACTCATGACAACAGAGTTACAGACAGATCTTTTAAATCACTGACTCCAGCTAAACAGGTAATAAAGAACTACAGAGATGATCTGTGAGAGGTTAGGCAAAGACTATAGTCACAAAAACATGCTTTAAGCCCAGGAAACAGAAAGTGTGAGAAAGAGCTTCATATTGACTCCTCCCTAATTCACTGAGATATGGGCAAAGGCAGTCAGGCTTTCATGATTCTGTTCCTATAGTATACTATAGCCTATGTCAGCAAAGTATAATTCCAGGAAACATTTGGAGACTGTTTTCTGATCTGACTTATTTTAAAGGCCTAACAACAGTAAACCAAATCCAGCATGGGTTCTACTGCATGTGCGGGCCAGATAACAGTAGCTGCAAGTTCATGATGGTTCTGAAATCCCTCAAGACAAGCAAAATCTAGAATATTTGACCACCTTGCCAGAAGTCATTGTGGCTAACTCAAAAAAAAAAAAAAGACTATGCAGTGGGATGTTAATGTTCCTGCCATCTAGCTAACCAGCAAAATCAGCAGACTATTGGATGAAACTTCTGATTAGTAAGATGCAGTTTCTATAGACTACCATCACACCACTAATCACAGAGTAATTCAGAGGAGCTGGTAGGGATTAATTCCTGCCACCCCCTCTCAGCTTTATTTTTATAATACATTTCAGGATGGTGGCACTTTTATCGAGGATGTTCTTGTGAATTTAGCCTGCTTGGACAACTGCACACTTAGATTTACAATTCACATCCCCATGTGCAAAAGACTGCACTATGTCACATACAGATTATCCTAGACCCTCCCACTGCTGAAGGTAGAAAACAATTTATTTTTTAAATAGTAAAGTCTGTGGAGAGAAGATGGAAAAGGAGGAGGCAGTCATTTTTCCCTGCAGACAGTGATAAACATTTGGAATTTCTAAGAACCTGGAGAAGCTCAGAAAACTGAACAAAGAGCTATTCACTTCAGGAATGTGAAATAAGTAAAATGTATAATCCAGACATTTGCATTAAATTTTTTATTTCTGTTTTCTGTGTTGTACTAAGTCTTATTTCCTTTATTTTCCTGTACAAGTTATTTTTGCTGTTCAATTGTTTTTCAGGTTATGTTGATAAAGATAACAATAATTAAGAAATCTGATCTGAACCTTCTCCAGACTCTTTATAGTGATTTGGGGAATAGTAGCAGACCACTGCCCCCTTGGGATCTGTCTGGAGTATTACATTTTCTTTTGGAATCTTATGTTCTTCCATATTAAATGTTTATTTAAGCAAGATTTGCCAACATAGTATTTCATGTGACATGGTGGTTTTATAGATCTATCAATTGATACAACCTAATGCCATTAATCTTATTAACATATTGGAAAACTTTCTGCATATCCAACCAAAAGGCAATGATTCAGCAAAGGAGAAAGCAACTTACAAGAAGGAGAAGCTCTCCTGGTTTATCTTCCATCCACTGCTGGAGGCTTTGTGTTGTTATTGACTTGACTGCTGGAAACTGTTCTTCAATCCATTTGATCACCAAAGGTCTCATTTCAGAGGGTTGCCTCAAACCTGAATCTTCAAGGTCTTTTAAAAATTGGTCAGCCATTGGCTTCTAAGTTTCACTAAGTGAGAACTTTCAGTTGTAAAAGTAAAAGTTGATTGCAAAAATTCTTGACAAAAATAGCTTGCAAACAATTCTGATAGCAAAGCGTATCTCTTTTGTCAATATATCTTTAAAATATGTTTAAAGTGGTATGTGTGTCTCTGCCTGTTTCACTTCTGCCTTTTGCTTCTCTTTCCCTACAAGCATTCAGAATTCGACCTCTGGATGAATAGTACATGAAACTTGAACAATGAAGAAAACATGATTGCAAAGGGAGGAGACACAGTCACGGCAAAAAGTTAACATTGCCTCTCGTTAACAAATGAAATCACTCTGCCCTTTGAACACTTGAAAACAAGAGGAGCCAAAGAGGAAAAAGGTGAGATCAAAAACAAGAGGCATACTGAATTCTTCCATTATGAGTAGTGTCAAGTCATTCCACTGATGTGCATATAATAGTCTAATGGCAGTTACCATATATAAAAACAAAGTTTTGTAACTTTTTTCCAACTTTTTGTCAATCAGTCTCAAAAAAACCTCTGGCTTCAACTGATACTATTTTTTTAAAATCTTCTGAATGAATGTATGTAATTGAATCCATTTTTCACCTTTTTATATGTCCACCAAGTATGGTAAAATGTCCCCACATTTCCTGTATAAATTTAAAGTACCTTTATACATTGTAGAATTTTCCCCCGATGACATATACCAGTGATGGTGAACCTTTTAGAGACCGAGTGCCCAAACTGCAACCCAAAACCCACTTATTTATTGCTGGGTGCCAGGTGGGCCTGGCCCACTGGGTGGGCGTGGCTGTGGTGGTCATGGCAGATTTGGGGTGGTGGCCAAGGTGGGCGTGATCACCTCGATGTTGCTCGTGGGGAAGGACGTCTGTGGGGGCCGGGCAGGGTTGGAGATCCAGGGGCTGGCCTCTGTGTGCAGGGGCCGATGGTGTCAGGCAGCAGCTGCTCCGCCCCCTCCCTCACCTTTCCCTGTGACAATGGCATCCCCTCCCTGCCTTGCCTCACCCTGCAGGATGAGCCTCCTGCCCACTGCCCCACCTGCCAGAGACTCCCTGGATCTCCAACCCTGCCTGGCCCCCACAGACGTCCCTCCCCACGAGCAACATCGAGGTGATCACGCCCACCTTGGCCACCACCACCCCCAAATCTGGGATGCATCCGGCCATGTGGGACCTCGGTGAGTTAGCGGGCGGCTGGTTGAAGAGGGATGGGTGCCATCTCCGGGGCATGGTGCATGTGCCCAAAGAGAGGGCTCTGAGTGCCGCCTCTGGCACGCGTGCCATAGGTTCGCCACCACTGACATATACTAACATCATTTTATAAAAATTCTTTTAAAGGTGATAATGTAAATTCATCCTTTTCAACCACATTCTCTCATTGTTCCATTTATATGTTATAACCCAAAAAAAATAATAATTAATTTGATCATACTTGTTGTTCTGTTTCAAATTTCAGTAGACGTTTATACATTTTAGAAATAACATGTTCATCATTTGTACATAGTTCTGTTTCAAACTCAGTCTTACAATGTTCAAAACCAAAAGCTATTTTATTTACTTTAAATCTTTCTAGTAAGTGTATGTAGGAAGACCATTGACAAGTATATTCTTCTAATGCCAAATCTTTTCTTGATTCTATTTTGCATTCTTCTTAAGTAAAATCTTGCATGTCACCATAACTGAACTATTTATTTTTAGTTATAATACTAATACTTTATTATCATTTGTAACATTCTTCCTCCAAAGATTAGGATGGCCCTGCTAGAAGCCTTTGAAGACCTGTGTTGGGGTCCTGAGTATGTGAAGGGGCTTGTTTACTGCTTATGTTAACATCAATGGATAATAACATCTGTTGATTGCTATTTGTATTTAATTTGGTTTTTGTATTGTGTTTAAACTGTTTTAATTGTTTTATGACTATTTACTGATTTGAGATGGTTGGCTAAACAAATGGTATGAATGAATGAACAAACAAAGAAATATAGAGGTGTTTCTGAGGAAAAAGAGCAAGAGAAAATTTCACATAGCAAAATGGAAAGCATTTTATTCCTGTCTAGATTATGATTTAAGTGTGGTCATGAGCTGGTCTTCAATTACACAAAAATGACATTTTAAAAATAGTTTTTCAAACATATGATGAAAATCTTTTTGTTACATTTACATAAATGTTAAAAATGTGTAAACACCCTGCAATAAAGAATAAAAAACCTGTAAGGATCACAAGTTCCCAATTTATGCATTTTTTTAAAAATGTGGATGCCAGAGATTGAATTACTGATCAGGCTCATATATCATACAGGATTATAAATTCATTTGCATAATTACAGATTGTTAAATCACCACTGAGTGGAAGTGTCCAACATGCTAAACTAAAACTAAATAATCCATATTAGGGCTTAGCCTTAGCACAGCGAATGGACGTAATACATCCAAGAGTCATGATTTGGGAGTGGTAGAGGCATTTTATTCTATCATGAGGTTGTCTTGGAATCCCTATGGTACAGCAGAAATATCTGTGAAGAGCCAGTGGGAATACTTCTATAAAACGCGTCTTTATTTAGCAAATGTGGCCATAGCTTAAATAGACAAAAAGGCTGATTCTTTAATGCCCTCATGGAGCTAGATATCAGCTTCTGGCATCACCGTTGCCTCGGCAACGCATCCTGACCTCCTCCGGGAATTTCCCAGAATGCATCGAGATGTGTTTGGAGGGCGCAGAACCGTCGCCGCGGCCGCCATCTTGGTGAGCGAGATCGGACTATTGTGTCCGCCACCATGGAGGGCGGTGAGTGGACGCGGCTCCGAGGAAATAACGGGAGGGGGAGGGGGCTGTATTTCCCTTTTTAAGAGCCCCCTAAACAAATAATTGCCGTACCTCTTATATAATTGATATTAACTGAAAAGTCATTTCCGTAGTATAAATTCATCTGTACAGATAAGTAAATGAAACTAGCGTAAAAAGCATGGCAGCTTCCTTGCTCTTGATACGGAATAGCCTCTTGCTTGGCAGCTTCCTTGCTCTTGATACGGAATAGCCTCTTGCTTGGACGACCGTAAAGGTAAATGAGGCGTGTCCTTGAAGGAGGAGGAATGAGCATTAAAAAACCCCAAGCAGTTGCAGGAGCTGGGAGAGAATTCTTGTCTTTGTGTCTTGCTGATTACATGAGAGCAGCCATCCTCCATCAGGTGGCCACCATATCTGTTGCTTCCCACGTGGCATGGTCAGTGATGTGAGTTGTGATTCCAGATTTTGAAAGATCAAAACAGATATATAAAAAGTTTGCACATCATCTGTAAAGCAGCTTCTTGGCTGTTCAGACTTTAAAGGCATGCCAAGGCTCCTAAAGTGATTGGTAGTAGTTCATCTAGAATTAATCCCACCAATGTTTTGGAATTACAGCTTGTAGATTTTCTTGACTGAAGTCCGTCATAGGATATGTAGTTTGAACTTGAAAAAGTGACTTTATACATTAAATAGCCAAAGGAAAACAGTATTGTTCTCAGCAGGTTCCTGAGGAACTTCCATTAAAATAATTTTCCACATTGGTCTTGTGGTATATACCTTTCATTTGGTTTGAGTTTTATTAAACAGTGTAACCAACATCTGATATGAGTCATTCAGATTGGCTTATATGTTAATTAGGATCTAAAAATGTTGGTATCAGAGATAGTGCATATTTTCTGAGACTGATACAGGCTAAATTTTAAGAATCCCATTTTTCCCCATTTTCTGCTCTAAGTGGTATAAAAACTACCCATTACCAGGTAGTTAATGCATGCAGTATACATATTGTATAATTCCATACTCCTTTATCTTTGTCCCAGATGATACTGGAAATCGACTTCGTTTCCAACTAGAACTGGAATTTGTGCAGTGTCTAGCAAACCCCAACTACCTCAATTGTAAGTATCTAAAATATAATATGAATCAGGATATCTTTATTGGTTTCTTCAAATCATGAAATCTAGACAGGAAATTACAGTACAAAATGTACAAAATTGAAAACAGTAAAATATATAGAAACTAACCAGAAATATAATGTGTGTTCCTAAGTAGGCCCAAATTCATATGCAAAATATTTTAAAGTCAGTGTCAAAGATGATGGCTAGCTTGAATTTTGTTTGATTTGGCTAAAATCTGTATGGCAGGTTACAAATGGAAAAAAATGAATCAACAAAATTAAATATTAGAACTGTTGAAATCAGAAAGCTGGACATTTGGTCAAGACTAGCTGCATTGTTTTGCAGTTTATTGTGTGTCTTCATTTGAAAATAATTATTTGATACAGCACAAAGGATCAAATTTTAAGTAAATTTATTTTTGTATCTCTTTTAGTTCTTGCCCAGAGAGGATACTTCAAGGACAAAGCATTTGTAAATTATTTAAAATACTTGCTCTATTGGAAGGAACCAGAGTATGCCAGATACCTAAAGTAAGAATTATCATAATGTATATAACTCTTTGTACTAAGTTCATAAAACACATAGCATAAAACTCTATTTTTATGAAACAGTTGCCAGTCCCCTCTTCGGGAATCACCAAAACCCCTTGGAAAAATGGAGTAAAAATTATTATTCCCTCCTGTAGCTGGGTCTGTAAAAGGACAGATTCTTCAAATGCTTATGTGCAATTCTAGGGATTTGGCCAAGAGCAGAGTTACGGGCATGTGATATCCCCAAATTATTTCAGAACCTGGAAGTGTTGACCACTGGCTCTTTTCTAACTTGCAATATTGATGAATACATGCATATGATCTCTCCATATTTACCACAGTAGCCTGACAAGTGGAATTGGAACAGATTTTTTTGGATTCATGCTGTCACAAAAGTTTTAAAAAGGAGAATACATTTTCAAATAATACATGCACCCCTTTAGGATTTCTGGCCTAAGACTGGAGAAACACAGATTGAAGTCTACTCTCAATCATTATGGGCTATCTTGAGCCAAAATTGTTGATAATTAGTTTTTGAATAAGAAATCTGGCTTGGTGCCTCTTCATTTGTAAAGAACCAAAATGAATATTTCACAAGAAAATATAAGTGTTATAATTAAAAATTATATCTTGCTAACCAAAAGCAAATTTTCTGAATTATGTGGAAATTTTATTTAATTGCAAAATAGTGTTATAATTAACATGCATACTTGTTCACTAAATGTAATAGAAAACTGGCAATTTGCTTCAAATTAAGTGACTAGAATATTTATTGATTCCTTCCTTCCTACTTCTAGAATTCCCAATTCATTGTCAAGAGTACTGGTAGCTTAGGAAAAGCATTAAAAAGTATCTTATATTTTTTATTATGAAGGTATCCCCAATGCCTGCATATGCTAGAGCTGCTCCAATATGAACATTTCCGTAAAGAACTAGTGAATGCGCAGTGTGCAAAATTTATTGATGAGCAACAAATACTCCACTGGCAACACTATTCCCGCAAGCGGATGCGCCTCCAGCAGGCCCTTGCAGAACAGCAGCAGCAGCAACAGCAGAACAGCACCTCTGTCAAGTGAGCCATTAGGCACTACAAAAACTCCTTGCAAGGGCAGAAGGCACCTGTGGATTTAATCTGGAGAATTGTTATCTGAAATGCCTTAGCACGGTGATGGTATTAGTACAATGTTGCTTGTGGATGTTTAGCAGTTTCGGTTAGAAATTTCAGATTTGCCACAGACCAAACAAATGATTTCTTCAGGATGTAAGAGATTCTTCTTATACTCTGATTTAAAGGCGTAGATGTGTTTCCTGATACTGTATAGCAGAAGGGTATTTTGGAACATTTACTGTGAAGTAAAAGTGGCTAAACATTTTTGTTGTATGGTTGTTTGTGGGTGTTAGTAAATGGTGTTCTGGTTATCTCTCTAAATCCATAGGAATTAGCTTTGTAATTTTTGATCCGGTGATTTGGATGTAAAGCAACAGCAATAACTGCAATAGGTGGAAAAACTTGTTCACTATAGTTCAGAGCATCACTCTTGGCCACGCAACTTGACTTGAGGTTTACTGGGTAGCCACCTGTCACGGATAGTTCGAATAGTTGTCCTACACACTAAAAGGCTGGACTAGATGATCCTTGTAATCTTTTCCAACTCTACAGTTAAGATGTAGCATATAGTGAAGAATTTCTTGCTTTTAAGGCAAATTTCCTTGAATTGCAAATTGATAGGAAAATTCTATATTTTAGATTTTCTATACCTGACTTCAGGGAGACTTTGGTGTAATGTGCCAGTAATAGTTGGCAAATTAATTAGAGGAACCCAGCTTCCTTTAAACCTGATAGAGATAATTTAACGATAGATAATTTACATCCAGTGTTGGTATTCACTTTAGTAATTCCATTTGTTAATCTCATTGATTTTCCTTTGGTGTTTAAAGTCTGCCTCATGTCTATTAAGCAAATAGCAGTCATTTTCCTATAACCATCAGCATTCTAGCCCTCAGAAAATTATTTTTCTAAGTCATTTTCTTGGTCATTGTAAATGTGCAGAATAACTATACTTTCTCATCCTTGTCCTCATATTTCTTATGTTTGGGAGTTCATTAACTATTACAAGAATGATATATATCCATATATCATTTACCCTTTGAAAGAAATTCAACAGTATTTATTGCTGTGGGTGTTCATTTAAAATGTATAAAATGGCAAATGTCTGCAGAAGCCTGAATTCTTTCTAAAATATATTTGCCTTAGACACTGAAACTAAGGGAATCCAATCTAATCTTATGAGTAGATAATCTCCAGCAAATGGGTTCATATAAACTAGCCACAATTTTAACTGTCCATAGTGACAGTTAAACACAATCCATAGTGATTTTATTTAAATTTGTCAGCTTAGATTATAGATTTATTCACTGGCAGTTTGACATGATAATGGTTTCATCTAAAAGCATTTCCCCTGCTGGTAATAGCTTCAGTTGCTTAGTCCTCTGCAAACAGCATTTGCACAAGGTTAGCTTTAAAACAATCTTCTTCCACCAGTTTCTGAGGCTGAAACAAAAGTCAGGATACATTATTACTTTTCTAAGTATGATAGAAGATCCAAGTCAGTGGTGGCGAACCTATGGCACGGGTGCCAGAGGCGGCACTCAGAGCCCTCTCTGTGGGCACGCGCGCCATCACCCCAGTCCTAGGCCTTCAGCTGGGTTTTATAAAACTTTTTCGCTTTAGGCCTCCGCCACCGTGTGCAAAAAAAAAAAAAAAAAGGTTCAATCAGTCAATTTCAACTTCTCAAGGGAAAAAAAATCTTACAAAGTTGGAATTGGTTGATTGAACTTTTTAGTCCCACCCAGTCTGCCATTACCACCGCAGCCACGCCCACCCAATGGGCCACACCCAGCCGGCACTCAACGATGCATAAGTGGGGTTTGGGTTCCAGTTTGGGCACTCAGTCTCTAAAAGGTTCGCCATCACTGATCCAAGTCCTTTGTAGAAACATTCCTTCCTATGTACTGTTATATTGCTAAGTAACTTAATAACTACATGGCTTATTTTTGGATACATTTTCCCCAACTGCACTCTTTCCAGTTTGTCTAGTACTCCCACAATCCCTTTTTGGACTGGACTTTTAGAAGACACAAAATTATATCTGCTAAATTACTCAGTTACCACAAATGAGAAATAGTTTATCCATTAAAACACCAATAGCCTGGGTTTGTTCAAAAAATAACTCGTTGGACACTAGTGAGATTTAATTTTGTATAGACATATACAGGATTAGACCAATCTTTTCCAAACCATAATTTCTTTATAATTTATAATTATAATTTTTAATTATAATTTTTAATTTCAGTTGAGAGCAGTATATAAAGCCAGGCTTAAGAATGGAGAAGAAATATTTGGCAATTCTGCTAAGCACTACAGGCTTTTGACCACATTTGAGTCTTTCCAAACTAACTAGAAAATGTATATACTTACAGTTCCATATTTGAGAAGTGTAGGCACCCCAGTTAACTTAAGATTCTTCTTGAATTCATTATTGGGATTTTTCCAGCTATGGAGAAATTAAAATAATGGTTTTATAGCTTATAGCAGTGGTGGCGAACCTATGGCACGGGTGCCAGAGGCGGCACTCGGAGCCCTCTCTGTGGGCACACATGCCGTTGCCCCAGCCTTGCCTCCGCCCACGACCCCCTCACCAGCAGCCTCCCTGGAGGAGAGTCTCCCCTGAGCGTGGCCCACGCAGAGCAGCGCAGCCAAGGACATGGCAGCCAGGCAACGTAGACAAGACTCTGCCCTCACGCCCCAACGCGCACAGTTGATGCTGCAGGGCATGGGCAGAGGGCGTGGCCGTGGCGCTGCTGGGCTGCCTGGGTGATCTGCACCGGGCCCTGGAGGCGATGAGTGGCCCTGCAGGCAGGCAGGCAGGCAGGGTGGGGCGGGGCAGGGCCAGTTTTTGGGCACTCGGTCTCTAAAAGGTTCGCCGTCACTGGCTTATAGCTTTAAGCTTAAATATACTTGAATGTTGGAAGAAAACCATTTTTTTAAATATTCTGTGTGGATAAATTCACAATAAATGGAAGTTCCCATATTTGACCGACTACTGAGAAAGGCAAATTTTGGTAAAAGTACATTACCCTTGATGTGATCCAGATAGATTTTTTTTCCTAACAGACCACATGAGTACAATGCACTCAACATCTTTTCAAACATTGCTGCATTACAGAAAAAAACAAGTTGCTATGTGTGGAAATCATATGAAAATAAACTACAACCAATTGCAGCTCTGTTATAAATTTGCAATCTTTTAGATTGAAACAATTAAAGCCTAACAGTTGGTCCAGATTGCAGTGGTATAAAAAACTATGGTTATGTATCAGTACCATACTTCCAGCTGCAATTCAAGATGCTGGTCATCAGCTACAAAGCCCTACATAGTACAGGGCCTGGTTATTTTAGGGCAGGCATGTCAAACTGCCGGCCCGCGGGCTGGATGCGTCACGCTGAAACCGTGCCCACCCCATTGCCGGCAATGGGGAAAAAGTCCAGATACGTAGTGCGATGTCACGAGTTTGACATGCCTGTTTTAGGGCGTGCCTTTATCCAACTTTCTGTAAAATCCAAATGCAACAGAACAGGTATGCTCAGATCCCATCTTTTAAGCAGCATTATCTTATAGGACCCAGTAGGTACCTGTTTGTTTGGGATACCTGCTGTTTAGAATGGGTTTTTTAAATACTCATTCCATTTCTAATTTTTGTGTGCTGTCCAAGTGAGTGGACAGACCTAGAAATTTGTATAAATGAAATAAATACTTGGCAGATACATCCTATTTGTTTTACTATAAACTACTTAGAATCACGGAACAGTGACACGGGCAGCTATATAAATAATCAAATTTCAGAGTTCAAAATGGTAAAGTTCAGCTGATAAGAGCAGATCTGGCAGAGAGGAAAGCAAAGTATAAGCAGGAAATTACTGCAGAGCAGGATCTGATCCGAGTAGTCATTTGTCTCAAAATTGCACTTAAACTAAAGCCAATATTTCTGCAACTTACTTAGAAGGAGTTCCTTTTAAGTTTTTTTTTTTTTTTGCTGATGTTTGAGGACATTCTGCACATGGAAAGTTTTAAATATTTTTATTACATTAAGACCCTCATACAACTTGACAACAGACTAAGTGTTACACTTTTATGAACCATATGTACAATACTTGTTTGGTTGGCAGAACCAAAGTAGTTCTACCATCTTTCTGAAATACCTTACTTACTAGTCTCTGGGTCCTACTTGGCAGTAAATGAATATAGATCCATCTGGCAGGTTTGGGAGTTCAGCTCGTACAATGGGTTCAGCTAAAATTGTTAAAAAAAGGATTAGCTTTCCAATGAGACCTTACAGCACAAACACTAGTAATAGATTTTATACTGCAACTTTCATCTCCATGCCCTCCTCCTCTCCAACATAGTACCCTCTCCCAGTTTCATTAGAACCTCCTTTGAACTGGTTCCCACTCGTGCTAGTTCATAGCACACAGAGAGGTGCTTGTATATGTGCATGGACTAACAGACTTCGCATTTCAAATGCCTGAAAAGGTATCGGACAACTTCTCAAGTAACCTTTTTAAGGCAATTCACAAGCAACCATTTCACAAAAGAAATTAGAAATAGTTAAACTCGAGGAAGAACTTGTTGATCAAAACCCTTTGCAGATACATTTACAGTATCTGACTGCAGGGAAAAGGCGGTGGAGAAAGCCATGCGTATAAATTATATGGAGAAAAGTTGACTACCTTTAACACAATCTGGGCACCAACTAGTACCGCTGACTGGATCTTTGTCACCGCTAAAATACACAAATACTTGGCCGCGCTGTTGTTGTTCGCGGGCGACCCGATCGAACTCATCGTACCCGTGGACAGAAATCTCTTCCCAGCCCATGGTGGAATCTCGTGTCTCTGGAAGGGCGGAAGTGTGGAAAGGCGAAAGGGGAAAAGCAAGGACCACGCCCCCCAGAGGATGGTGGCCGCCTGGGCCAAACACTTTCAAAAGAGTTTTCAGGATTGGATTGAGGGCGTTGCGAATTTTCCCGGCAGCTAATTGGCCCTTATCGCCACCCGTTTTCCGCGAACTGTTTCAAGGCGTCTTTCAACGCGCCGGTTGCTAAGGAAGTAAGGAGAGGCGGGATCGGTTCAGCCTGTAGCAGACCTCTGCTATGGCTCTGTAGCCTTCTTCCGGTAATTCGTCAGGTTTGTCCCGTGTTTTTCCTTGGAGAGAGAAGGGGAGGAAGAAAGGGAATCTCATCGTGATTTTTGCACCTATCTAGGCTAAATATAGCAACAGCAAAGATCCAGCTCCTTGCAGCGGCTAACTAAATAAACATGTATTGGTGTGCGTGCTGCTCAGCGATAGATAGATTGCATTGAGGAGTCGTTAGTGAGCTTGGTTACTTTCTTGCAGATGTTTCATTACCCAAACTAAACGTCTGCAAGAAATAATCAAGCTCATTTCAACTCCGAGCTTACACTATCGATAGATTGCACTATACAAGGAGGATCTGATTACCTTCCCCAATCCTGCTTATGACATTTGGGCGGTCATAAGCAGAACAAAAGTGGACCCAAGCTGGATCAAGTCTTCATTGACTTTTAAACCCCCAGTGATCGTCAAAGTTTGGCATAACTATAAATGTTCCATATCAATCATGTGATATTTCCTGAATTATTTTCTGGAAGAATTTTCTACATCTGTGTGATGAATGATTTTATAGATTATTAAGAATTTTAAAAATACAATTAGCATTTTTATAAGTAATTGTAGCAGGTGGTTAGGTACTTATAGTCAAATCTATTCTGTTTCTGGTTACAACTTTTTTTGCAAAAGGTTCCTGTCTGTGTGTCTACCATGTTCTCAAAGTCTTTGTAAAGGAGAAGCAAACTGTAACTTGTTAGCGCCTTTGCTTAGTTACACCAATGATAGAATGATGGCAAATTAGCCTTATTATAAGAAAGCTTTATTTCTGATATTCATCTCTATGTGTTTCTTTCAGATATTTAATATTGGAGACAAGCAGCATTTTTGTGCTGCTTTTTGAGAGACACCTGGCTATATAAGAGTTTTAGAGTTCCTCTAAGAGTTTGTTTATCAGATTTGTATGGCTGCTCTTCTTACACAAAGTGATGCTGGATGGCATATAATAAAACCAGTAATTAAAACATTCTACAAAACCAATTGAAAAAAACAGATAAAACAAAACCAAACAAAATGATTCCATAACTTTTTAAAAAGATAACCTTGACACTTGTTTTCTAAGCATTGTAAGTGTTGATGAGTGAATTGCAATTCTAAGCATGCTCAGAAAATTAAAATTCTTATGCCTAATTAAGTGAATTGTAAGAGGGTCTTTCAGCTAAGAAACAGAATGTGTTTATGCTAATGGTGGTTTAATATTTGGTGACTTTCAGTAACTTCATAAACAACAGAAGCTTGAGATTTTGGAAATTATGATGGAACTGCGAAAAGCCACTACAACCACTATTCCTGTGGTATCCCACCCACAACTGGCCAAAAGTGATACAAAGCCCCCACAGATGCAGGTATTGCACAACATCAGCATCTTCTGTGGATTTTACATGATGAAATGCTAACATGTAAATAAGCTTGCCAATATGTATTCTAGCATTGCCTACCTATCATTTTTTTTAAACAAACCAATGATGTGATGGGTGCTGATTCTTAGAAACATATTTCATTTCCAAATTTTGGAAATGATAAATATTAAACATTAAACTTAAATATTAATGGAAAATTAAAACTGGGGAAAATTCTTAGAAACATATTTCATGGAATTTGTGTTTTTAATACTAATGATCATAAATCCAGTAAGTAAAGTCCTGTTTGGATGTGTTTTATGTTTTCTGCTTTTAATATGTTTCATACAACCTCTAGCGTTTTTCCATGTATGAATTGAGGTATAATGCCTATTTAGATTGCTGGAGGTTCCTCAGAGGAATATGAGAGGAATCGTAGACCTTATGGCACAGACTTGTCTTCTTTCCTTCCTTTTGCAGAACAATTATTCTTACTCTTCTAAAGTTAGTATAAGGCAGGGGTGTCAAACTGCTGGCCCGGGGGCCGGATGCATCATAGCGAAACCACGCCTACCCCATTGCCGGCAATGGCAAAAAAGTTGTGATATTTCACGACACGTCACATGACATTGCGAGTTTGACACCCCTGGTATATGGTATATTTGGGCTATATAACTGTTCTTTCTGAGGAGAAGTTAACAGATAACTACATTAGTATAAAGTAGATTAATTTTTAATTAACTAGTTTACTTTTTTAATCAACTAGCTTGGGAAATAAATTAAGATCCTTGTAAGCTGCTTATTTTATGCTTGTACATAGAAACATGAGTAAGTATACTAGCATATATAGTGGTCTCCACTACAACTTTTAATCCTCGCCACAACTCTGTTCAGTTGCCCAATGGAGTTTTTTTTAGTTAAACAGAGATTTGCATTTGGGTGATTTTAATCCAATACTCACCTTGTACCACACTGCCTGTTTTAAATGTTTGGAACAGCTGCAGTTCAGCCGGAATGCTCCTGCATTGACTGAAAACCTGTCTGTCCACTACACCAATCCCTGTCCAATTATCATAGAAAAGCTGAAACAGCCAGCAACTCAACAAAATCAAGGTGCTGGTGATGGAGCTGATCTAAGGGACTCTGTTGAATTCTCAGTTGTATCTGAAGAGAAGCTCAACCTGGCTGTTCAGCTGGCCAGAAGGGATGTGAAAAGGAAGCACCTGCAAGAGCAAGTGAAGCAGCATCTCGCCAAGATGAATAAGTGTCCTGTGGGGGGCCGTTGGGGAAAGGAATCAGGGAATGCTGCAGTGTTGAAAGCATCTAAGTCCCACCTGAAATATGAACACCCGCTTAGTAACCCTTCTAAGATGGAGAGGAACAGTACTGGAGCAAAAGTCCTCCTTTGTGATCCAAGTCATGTCAAGTCAGAACCCGCTTTGTCTGATTCTCCACCAACCCGTGATCCAGGACCTGGGCCCAAAAAAGAAGAAGACAAATGTGCCGTAGAAATCAGAAGGCTACAAAAAGAGCTTCAGACTTACATTCAGAAAATTGAATTGCTAGCAACAAAAGGTAAGGGGGAAAGAGTTATAGTTATGATGTGGCCAAAATTTGATCATAGCTTCGTTTGGAAGTTAGACCACATGGCTGTCTTAAATGAAGATGTAATACAAAGAAGTAGAAGTGATATAGGTCACTCTCTTGGCCTAACAAGCTAGGTACTCGCATATAAGTCTGTGATTGGTGATGCAGAAGAATATTCATTGACTTTGTCTGTTTCCCACTGAATGGAGGCTTTGAATTCAGTGCAACCAGTACTCTTGTAGCAAGTCCTGAGAAGCAGGTAAAATAATTAACCTTACAGGGAAAGAAAATTGAGGCAAGCTAACTGACAGCAAAGAACGATGAGTCTTTGTCATTGTTGTTCCTGACTTTCAGGACTTTGTTGTGTAAGTTCTCATGTCTAAATGAGGCTTATAAAGAAGACTTGAGTAAGCATGAGGCTCTGTGCCTACTATCCCGCCCATTTATCCTGCTAGCCATTTTCCAATTCAATATAAAGAAATGTTTGTAATAGTGCTTGACCAGAGATTATTTTTTGCCAATGTTGCTAACCAGAGTATGTGCACTTTGCAGCCAGATTCTCCCACAGACAGATTAGAGTCTTAAAATTATAGCCCATGTGTTGCATATTATTCATTTTCTGAAGTCAGCAATGATATTCTGCAGCACTGATCTTGGGGGGAAAAAGTATCAACACAGTAAGAAATCAAATATATGTGGCCAGACTGAAACTCTCTATTATGCAGTAATATAGTATGTCTTTAATTTAATAACTACATGCTTACTAGCATATTATGATACTTTTAGTTTCTTCATTTTTGCATCAATGTATGAAAAAGCTTCAGTGATCTCATGTGACATAATTTGAGTTTAAGCCCACTGGTTTTGAGACTAGTCATGAGCTGATTATTTGTACTGCAAGAATTAAAGAGAAATCAGTTTAAAAAGTCTACACTTGAGACAGTAAACTGAAGAACTGTGTGAAAATTACTGACTTCTCTTGTGTAATCTGGATTTAAGCTGCTATTATGGGATATAGGGCATTTAATACAGTTTTTGAAACACTTTTTGATGGCTTTTGAGTGACACGGACATTTTTCTTCATTGTCTGTTCTCAATTGTAATTGTGTTATGTATTTCGTGTTTTCTACACCAAATTGTCTGTTCATAACTGAGCACAATCAACTGTTTTGCTAAACTTTTTTTTTCCCCAGAGAGAAGTGAAATATGTCTGGATCCTGAGGAAGAACGCCGGGTCCATATTCGGAGGCAGGAACAAACTGTACGCTCTGCCCGAATGCTCTATGTGCTCCAGCAACAGGTCTGAACAAACTCTAGAAACTTTGGGAAGATATTTCAGACTCAAACTAGGGCAGGGATAGGCAACCTTGGCTCTTTTATGACTCGTGGACTTCAACTCCCAGAATTCCTGAGCCAGCATGGTTGCCCAACCCTGAACTAGGGAATCAAAACAAGGCAGTCTGAACCAGATAGCTTGGTTCGAAATTCAGATTTTATTATACAGACAGAGAGTTTTCCAAACTGCATTCTGTTGTTAATTTAATTGTTGCATTATCAAATAGGTAAAACAAATCCAAGAAGATCTGGAGAAGCTGAGTCCCCTTAAAATTAAACATACAAAGAAGGTGAGATGAAATTGCTTTACAAGTTTGGGGGGGAAAACTGAGTGATGAGGGGAAAAGCTCAGTTGGAGCCTTTGGAGCAGTGTTTCTCAACCTCAGCAGCTTTTAAGACATAGCTGGGGAATTCTTGGAGTTGAAGTTCACACATTTTACAGTTGCTGAGATTGGAGCCTCCCTGAAAGGTCCTTTTGGAGAATAGTTGGAAGCATGTGGGTAGAGGATAACTTTTTAAACTTTGTGTTCAGTGTGCTTTTCACTGAGCTGTGTGATCTTTCAGTCAGACCTGACATTTCTACTTTGCGTATCATCATAGCAGTCTGATTTTGTATATTCTATTACAGTCCTTCTTCTGATACAGACTAGAAATGCCTTCTCCAATCTTGGTGTCTTGGATTGTGTGGGCCTCAACCCTCAGAATTTTCCCCAGTACCCATTCTAGCTGGGGAGTTTAGGAAAATGAAATCCACGTATCTGGCCAAGCTGCCAAGGAACTTGTGTTTAAAGATCGGGCGGAATTGCTCTGGGTTCTTAACAAGAGACTACTTGATTCAAGCCAGAATTCTTTTTCCTTTGTGATGCAGTCACAAGCTATGGCCAAGCTGGCAGCAGCTCACAGAGGTGCCATCCGAGCTCTGCAGATGTTTGTCACTCATTTTGCTGACCAGTCAGAGCAGCAGTCTGCCTCTGTGCATTGTAAAGAGCTGGGCAATCTCATCAGGCAGCTCTCTCTCTGTTCTGCTCGCCTTGAGATGGACTCATCCATTCCTGATATCATCATAGATCTGCTTCTACAAATTGAGGTCAGGAGAGAGTGAGTTTTTTCTTTGCTTGGCCTCCAAGGCCGTGTATATAACTCTTAATGGGGAGGAACAGATTTCCATCATCCAGGGAATGCACGACCCTTTGAACTAAGCGTTGAATAATGACATGTTTTAGCATTTGATCTCTAAGGAATGTGCCATTGCTCTTGAATTTCACATTTAATTGAGAATATGTTAAAGTTATATGCTACTAAAGCGCTTAGTAACTTTTAATTGGGTGAAATGGTGCAGGGTGGGCAACCATTTTTGAACCAAGAAACCCAAATGGGCTAACTTGACTCATGACTCTTGTGGAATTGGAAGTTGGCAAATTTTATATAACATTTTATGATAAAAATTATCATAAAGCAGCTTATGACATAATGCAAAATGTCAGAAAACACGTCCTGTGCCGATATTTGTCTGTGCTATATAGTTCATCGTGGGCTATTTTCAAGGCAGATACATTTCTGAATGTATCCCAACTTTCCAGTAAAGGCAGGACTAAGAAGTTCTGTCATTTTTGAAGGCATTGAGGAATCTGGTAAAGAGATATCTCTAAAAGGATGACTCAACAGATCATGGGTTGTCTAGGTTTTTTAAAAAAAATGTATTGTGCCCATGGGATGAGAAATATAATTACATTATCTTAAAACTATCCCTAAATCTTGTAGCACATAGTGAGTATATTAGCTAGATAGCATTTTTCTTCTAATTTATTCAGAGGTCTTTTTATTTTTTGTCAATTAGGAAGGTTGAGCATCCACCTGAACTTTACATCCTGTGGGATGGATTGTGGGTGTTCAGTTTAAGATTTTTGTATGTTTAATCTGATGTAAATTGCTATGGCAGGATTTGGACTCTGTGTTGTCCAAAAAGGAGTCTCCCAAGAAAGGACAGGAATGGTTCTCTACCTCTCAAGCTGATGCACCAAAAAGTACCCACAGATTGCCAAAAAAGCAAAAGAAACCTTGTGTGTTGGACCGAAAAAAGTCTTCAGTGGCTCGGAAACTTCTTCCCGGTGAGCCTTCTGGGTGTTGAGTTGGAAGAAGTTTGGTTAGTAATTCTTACAGATCTTGTTTGAATTTTTTCCCCAGAAAAATTGTAGACCCAGATGAGTTGGGAGTTTCTGGGTGAACTCATTGTAACTTAACCTCTGCTCCAATTGAATGGTCAGAATTGAGGATGTTCAGAATTGAATACTTCAGAAGACAATGCTAAGAGGAAAAAATGGTTATTTGGATGTTTATTATGTGAAGAGACTCCTGCTTCCTCTTAAAATTATTCCCTCTGCTTCCTATCCCTAGATCTTACTGTAATTAAGTCAAAGTATGTTCGCCTCTGTTTTTAGTATGTCTGTACTGCATAATGTTTTTTCCTGTCCCCTATTTTAGATAGTAAATGCCCTATGGTATGCAACTATTCTTACCCCTTCTTTGTAAAGTGGCATGGTTATATAATAAATCAATACAATATGTGTAACATCGTTGTAACAAATTACTTTAGATGAATATCCAGAATCTGCAATCCTGTTACCACACAAGAAAATCAGTCACTGCAGCACAAGAACCCAGAAAGACGTACTCCCTGTTGAGCGAGGGACAGTTGCACAATGCAAGGGTGAGGCCGTAGGGCGATCAGGACTTTTGAAAGCCGGCTCTGCTTCAGAACTGAAAGCAGGAACTCTGATGAAGAAGAGAGGAGGCTTGGTTTCCATCAGACCTCAGGTACACTTATATAATCATCAGCTATTCCTCCTCTTCCTTGTCTCTAAGCTTAATTTTAGGTGCTGTGAGACACACTTTCTTCCATGAGGTAATGTCTTTTCCTCCAAAATTACAGTAATTGAAATAAAGGCTTTAATAGATGTTGTTGTGTAGAAAAAACTGCTAAACTTGTCTGAAAACACATATTATTTTAATGTTTTTTCTTTCTCTAAAGGGTAGTTGTCGACCTCCCAAAACAAAAACAGTGCAGCCTGTAGCCAAACAACCTCGGTTTCTAGAGCCCACCTTTGCATTCCGGCTTAAGGAGACCAAACCACCCGTCCGAGATAATAGGGCCCCATGGATGCCTCCCAGTGTCAAGTCTCCCCTCCCCTCTGCTCTGCGGTAGGTTGACACCCTTGCAAGGGCAGTTGTTAAGGGGTATAAACATCTACAGTGGGTAATGAGGGTTCATTTATGGCAAATGGCAATAGTTTATTCAATATAGCTTCTGGGATTTTATCTGGAGGTTGAAACATTCAGAGCTGCTGTGTACTAAGATGGATCAGGTATTTGTTGCATTTGGTTCAGTATAATCTTCATTCTGCAGAATTTCAGATGTTTTCAATGATCACCTAGTGATAATATGGAGTGACCCTAGAACAGGGGTAGGCAACCTTGGCTCTTTTATGCTGGCTCAGGAATTCTGGGAGTTGAAGTCCACGAGTCATAAAAGAGCCAAGGTTGCCTACCCCTGCCCTAGAACTTTCTGAATGTAAGCTTAGTCATAGCCCTGTAATCACCACTTTTGAAATCCTTTAGTTAACAGTAAAATAGCAACTGTCAACCTCTTCTGAGGAGGCCCTCTTGTTCTTTGGAGACACATTCCTGTCCCTCATTCTGGAATGCTTGAAGAAATGTTTCATTCCCCAGCTGAAGTTTACAACAATGTCTATAATTAATTTATGACGTGGAAATTTATAATCGGTGCCAGTGGGATTGCAAAAGCGATGATAAGCTTGTCTTCTCTTGTTATTTTTCTTCTCCCACTTAAACTCAACATTCTTGTAGGCACCTGGAGAAAAATCCTGAAAACGCAGAGCCATTTCTGGAGATAGAGACAAAGGAACAAGAAATACCTGAGAAAGAAGTGCCCAGGTAAGCAGGAAAGGGAGGGTGGAAGGTTGTGGATTTTTAAATAGTTGCATTTTGGGAATCCATCCCCCCCCCTTTCCCTCTCTTCTTTCCTCCCTGTGCCTTCAAGTCAGTTTTTCATGCCTGGTCAAATTCTTGCAATTTTCTTGGCAAGTTTGTTTGGGAAGTGATTTGCCTTTGGCTCCTTCTAGGACTGAGAGAGAATGACTGGCCCAAGGTCATCGAGCTGGCTTTGTGCCTAACATAGGAATAGAATATGTGGTCTCTCAAGTTTCTATCCTAAGGCCTTAACCACTACACCAAAGTGGCTTTTTCTCATAGATATGTTTTTTTTTTCTTGGTCCCCAACAGATATCATTTGTCTTTCTAAATTTGGACTGAAGCCCATATGGAAGGACATTTACTTTGGAAAGAGATCTGAATTGGGCTTGGTTTCCTAGACCAGTCTAGAATAGAGCAAGTAAAGGAAAACTAGCTATGGGGAAAAAAATGAAATGTGCCAATACCCTAGATCAGTGGTTCTCAACCTTTTTAATGCCGCGACCCCCAACCGGTCATAAGTC